GCGTGCCCTGATAGAAGACCGTGCTGGAGGTGGAGGGGCGGCGCAGGGCTGAGACCGCCGCCGCTCCCACACCGCCATCGCCGCCGCCACCGCCGCTGCCAGCCCTGGCCGCCCCCTGCCGCTGCTGCTGCCACTGCGCGGCGGCAGCGCCAAAGGGCGAGTCCCGAGGGTAGAGAGGGAGGTCGGAGGCGGCGCCGCGGCCGGCGCTGCCGCCGCCGCCGGCGCTGCCGGGCTGCGCGCCTGCCGCCGCGCCCGCCGCCGCGCCCGCTGCGGCCTCCTCGGCGATCGTCAGCTGGCGGTGCAGCGGGATGTGGAGGGGCGGCAGGGAGGGGAGCTCTTCAGTGATGAATGCCTGCTGGCTGACGACAGTCGGTAGGTCGGGAGGCAGGGAGGCGGGCCGCCGCGCGGCGGTGCGAGGGGAGGACGCGGAGCGAGGGGACAGCTGCTGCTGCGCCGCCGCCGCCGGCTGCTGCGCCGCGGGCTGGGTGAAGGGGGAGGCAGAGGCGAGGGGCGGAGAGGGCGGCGGCGCGCGCTGCAGCGGGCCCGCCGCCGCGCGGCCCAGGGACAGCGGCGGCGGCAGCGGCGGCGAGGCGTCCAGCCCTGCGGGCAGCAGGCCGGGAGGCGTGCCCAGCGTGCCCGCCAGGGGGGACTGCGGGCGGGGCGAGGTACTGGCCGGGACCGCGGGAGAGGCGCCAGGCAGCGGCGCCGCTGCCAGGCCCGGCGATAGCGGGGTGCTGGCTGGGCTGGGGCTGGGGCTGGCGGCCGCGGCGCCGTCGCCCCAGCGCCCGCCAGCCGTCTCCTCGCCGCCGTCCCACTCGTCCCGCGGCACCAGGATGAGCTCCAGGTCGGCGGTACCGCCGCCGGTACCGCGACCGCCCTTGCCGCGCGGCGGCTGCCAGCGGCCTCCGGCCACCGCCAGTTCCTCCTTGCCGCCGCCGTCGCCGCCGGCATTGTCGCCGCCCGCCGGGGGAGCCGCCGCCGAGCGGCGGAAGAGGCGGCTGAGGCGCTGCCGCGCCGACACCGGCGTCTCTGCCGCAGCCGGCGACGCCGCCGACGCCGTGGGCGTCCACGCCGCCTGCTGGCTGTCTTGCTCCCCGCTGAGGCTCAGGCTGCCGCCGTGGCTAGGGCTGGAGGCTGAGTGGCGGCGCTGCAGGCTGGCGGCGGCGGCTTCCTCCCGCGCCTGCACGGCACCCGCCAGCGCGGCAACCGCCAGCTCCGCGGCCTCGGAGCTGCTCAGCGGCGTGCGCGCAGGCAGCGTGCTGCGCCGCCGCCGGCCGGGCGTCGCCGCCGCGGCGCCGCCGCCCGTCTGGCTGCCCGCTCGCCCGGTGCCGGGGCCGGAGCCTGCTGCCGCCGCGTCTGCCGCGTCTGGCGGCGGCCCCAGCTGCTGCCCGTCTTCTTCCACAAATTGCAGCAGTACCGCCTCTGCCAGCTCAGCCAGCCCATCCACCACCTCCTGCACCACAGCCAGCAGTTGCTGCACCCATCAATGACTGCCATGGTGTACGCCGC